AAAGAAAGAAAGAAAAAAACAAAAGGAAAATGCAATACGTCTATTTAAAACTTACAAGTACAAAATAAATAAAAATTGCTAACATTAGAATTACTATAACTTACTAATTACTAGCAACCGTTTTTAAAAAGAAAAGAAAAATCCATGTTAAATAAATTTTTGCGAATTTCACGCATTGTAGTGTTAAAACGCTCGTCGATGAAGATACGCTTGCAATGGATTCTCGATTGTGCAAGCTGTCTTCGTCTCGGTAGCGTAAAACGGTAGTTTGTTGAAATATTCTGACGACCAAACATTGAATTCCATAGCACAAGCACATTCCATAATAAAACCATGGCCTGGAATGATTACGTATGTGTTATGTTACATCATAATTACTCGTACTACATGATCGTGTTTAAATGAAACAAATATTAAAATGAATTTGGAAACAACAAATGAAGGCTACAGTGTGAGTGAAATATCTTTCGACTGGTTTTTATAAGTCACGCGTAATCACATATAATTCATACCTGAATGGTCGTCAGTCTCTGTGTGTCATAATAACTTTATATTGCTTGGACAGCCATGGTTCATTCTATACTCTACGTAAAGCATTCCGGTATTGTGCCAATAATAAAGGGCCAATACTACTAACGCATGCCACCACTGGTGAGACGAACCGATATAATCTACCCAACCTTCAACAGAATGAAACTTTAGTAATATAAATCGTTCATGCGATGGATACACAGATTGATAAAAAAAAAAAAAGAAAAAAAGAAAATTGTTTATGAAGTTAAAATTCTTTTCCGCAATCGAACAATCCTGCCTTTTGTTCACAGAAGGACAGAATTGAAATGAGAACGCTATTTTAGCGTCATGTTTATTCATTCGATGTTTCGTAATTTAAATTACTCGCCAATTGACGTCAGAAACTTATTCGTCCCGACAGGTCATTAGCAAGTTGTATTAAAATTGTCAATGTTATATAATTTATAATGTGGCAAACTGGGAAAGGGACTGAAATTTTCTTCGGTGTGACGATCGAGACAATTGTCGCCATTTGAGAGAGGTTGTAGCGAAAGCTAGGCCAAATAATTGTTTTAGCCTATTGTTAAGAATATTAAGACTTATTGTTAAGAATATTAAGGAGCACGTTTTTGTGTGCATGAGTGCGTGAGAGTGACGAAGGCTTCGAGCAGGAATTCAATAGAGAGTTGTGAGATTTGGGAGAGAGTTCAGCAAGAGTTCTAGAGAGAGAATAGAGAGACTTAATTTTCTTTGTCACCGCCTCGTCAGGGACTTTCTTCTTTCTGTCAATCTTTATTTAATAAATTGTATTTAACATCACACACCATAGATAAAATATCCTTTCATTTTATTCCTGCTTAAAAATTTGGTAAATCTCAGCTGAGTGATTCCCACAATAACGAAGCTTGTACGAACAAAGGAAAAGTTAGAAAAATTAAAAGTGAATGATTACCTGGGCAGAAGCGCTCCGGTATTTTGCTTAAGTAGATAACAAATGCTACACCACTGATGACATACATCCCGAGTACCCTTGGAAGCAACATTCTAACGATCGGGTTGTCCATGCCACCCATAGCGATACTCCAATGCAACGTTGGCAGTACTCCATAAGCCGCCCAAGCAACAAAAACGACTAGCTTGATATTCCCGTTGACATTCAGTTTCGGTATTTGCAGAACCATTGCAAATATAAAGATTGCCAACACAGTTACTAGATAAAATCGCTGCAACTCCTGTTGGAGACAATAAACAGCTATTATCAATCACACGTTTATAGTATCTATACGAAGGAATATTTTCTTTCGTTTAATGGAAATTTCATTTTTATTTTTTATTGTTGCAAGTATGCAGATAGCGTGATGATCGTTAAGTACGAGTGCAACTGTATCGGTTGTATTATCAATCGATAGGAAGAAGTTTGTGTTGGCGTTGTGACGAAATCGAAAAGATTTAAAACTTTCGTCCGATAGTGTATAATTTGGAGATTGTATAATAATTACGTAATTTGGTTACCTTGTGACACCAAAAAGCGTAGTAAACTCCGGACATGTATATCGACAAAAGGCTCAGAGCAATGCCGAACAGATCGAACGATAGGAAACACCAATAATCTTTCTCGCTTCGGCAAGAGAACGTATGATACACTGAAGATAATATCATGCATGCCTGAAACAATGAATCACTGTTCTTCATCGAACAACATTTGAGCTGTTACGGTACAAAAAAAAAAAAAAAGAGAGAAATATGTCTTGACATTACTTGAAAACAAATCAGTAAGAGTGCTACTATCATTTTATCACCGAAAGGTGCGTGAATGTTCAGTAGACAAAGATCGTACAATGTCAGACCGCAAAACAACATCCATCCGAATATGTGACTCCATATGTTTACTGTTTCGTTTGTCCACCAGAATATACTGAAACAAACATTTCCTTTCTTGTAGTCGCTTTCACGAAATTTAAGATATCTTAGATGTAATCTAAGCAGCTTGATCTGAAATGTTTCGAAAGTTGGAAAGGCACAGAGAAATCGGTAGCCATTGAACACCGAATAACAGGTTAAGTACAAACCTCTCGATGCACAGTTTCGTTGTAAGATATCCTCGATATCCGTGAAGGATATAAGGATTGTGTTGAAGATGTTCAGGAGCCTCTTCATAAGCAAGAAGGCGCCTCAGTTTTTCTTCGTCCTCGAGCGTGATCTTTTTACCCTTAATAGGTGAATCTTCCAGCTTTCTAGAAGACCTACGGTACACCTGCAAAGAATTAAATTTGATATTTATAATTATATATATATATAATTACAATTTAATAATAATAAATAATAATAAAA